TATGCATATAACAATTGTTTATGTACTGTTGATGGACATTTGGGTTGTTTTTGGGGGTTGAGTTTTATGGATAAGGCTGCTGTGAATGGTCTGCTTGAAGAAGGCCTCTTGTGGACAAACGCTTTCGTTTCTCTTGGGTAAATACCTGGAAATGGAATTGCTGGGGTCATAGGGAAAGTGTACATTTCAGTTTTTTTTTGTATTTTTACTCTGTACAAGAGTGTATGAGAGTCCCACTCGCTCCACGTCCTCACCAATATTTGCTTTTGGTAGTCTTTTTAAAGGCAGCCATTCTAGTGAGTACAAAATGGCGTCTCATTGTGCATAAGGCATAATTTGCATAATTTGCATTTCCCAAATGACTAATGATGCTGAGACCTGATGTGTGCACATGTTGGCTATCTGTGTGTCTTCTTTGGAGAAGTGTCTTCAACGTTTTTGCCCATTTTCTGTTGGGTTACTCCTGTTTTTATTATTAATATGCAGTCATTCTCTAATGTGTTCTGGACATGAGTCCATTGTCAGATATGTGAATTATGCACATTTTTCCCAGGCTGTGGCTTGCTTATTAATTTTCTTAATTGTGCCTTAGGAGCATCAATATTTTATTTTGGTGAAGTCTAATTTATGATGCTCTTTTCTTTTCAGGATCAGTGCTCTTTGCACTTTATTTCCCCAAGAAATCTCTGCCTATCTGAAGGTAGCGAAGATATTCTCTTATGTTTACTTCTAGAGGCTTTTCGATTCTGGCTTTTAGGTTTGGGGGACATGCTCCATCTCAGATTAATTTTGGGGGATGGTATGAGGTAGGGTCAGGGTCCGTTGGTTTTTCACATGGAAATTCCATTGTTTTCATGTGCCTTTTTCTGAAAGCAAGAGCTTAGGAAACCTCAAACTCTGTTCCTCCGTCCCCATCTTTCCTTTATTCCTTCACTTCACCCTCCTAGGTCGACTCGCGAGGTGGTTGATCATGCCACACTCTCCTATGAAAATCCTTAGTGAGGCCCGACAGGCAGATTGACTGCACTTTGCTTCCTAAACGGGAGATGCTGATCTTGTCCGTCAGCTCCTGCCAGAAGCCAGAAGACCCATGGAATTCTTGTGGGCTTCTTAATGTTCATCCTTTCAATTAAAAATCTGTTTGGAGTGCATTATAAACGGCCCTAGGCCCTGGGGACACAGCAATGAACAAAACAGCCCTGGTGCTCATGGAGTCACGTTCCAGCGGGCAAAACCCACAGTAAACAGTCGAGCAGAGATCATTTCAAACAGAGCTACGCGTCATAATGAAAATAACAAAGGGTAATGTGTTGGTGACTCGGGGTGGGGGGAGCGGCAGCCTTAGTCACGCTGATCAGGGAAGACCTCTCTGAGAGGCGGTATGTTAACCTGCACCCGTGTGATGGATAAGTGTGGTCCAGCTGGAGGGTAGAGCAAGTGCAAAGGTCCTGAGGCAGGGATAAGTTTGGGGTCTTCAGAAAACAGCAAAGGCAGGCAGGGACGCTGTGTAGAGGGAACAGGGGTAAAAGGGGAGGTCTGAGAGGAAGCTGGAGACTTTGGGTTTTATTCCAAGTGAAATGGGAGGCCTTGAGTTCTAAGCAGGGGACTGACATGACGTGATTCATATTTTAAAACTCATTTAGAACAGTGCCTGGCATAGAGTAAATGCTAATAAATACTCAAAGACCAGGTGGAGGAAGAAAGGAGATGAGAGGGACAGAACAGGGCAGCGGTACAGGAAAATGAGCAATTGTCAATCATCCAGCGCGTGTTAAGCACTTTCTATATGGCTGTTGAATCATTTCAGTGCCTGGTCCCATTTTATAGATGGGAAGTGTCAAGCACATAGAGGACAAATAAATTGCCTGTGGTCCCGCAACAAGTAAGGGGCCAAGGCGGCTGTGACACCCACATTCTGCTGGATCTCATGACACCGAGGTTGAGCCACATCATGAGTGACAGATTAATTTGGGCTGGAACCCCAAAGGGTGCCATCATGTAAACCGGGAACTAGCTCAGCAACCCCCAGAAGGCTGTGGGCTCCCTCCCCCAACACAGCAATAGATTGTCTCCCTCAGGGGCCGGGAGCAGTAAATCTTGTGTGAAATTTGGGCACTGGGCGGAGGAGGGCAGGTAGGCCAGGCCTCTGTCTGCCTTTGCTCTCCCAGGTGACTTTGAAGCACTATTTCAGAACTATTGTAGCAGAAACCGCCATGATGGGGAGAAGCAGTTTAGAGTGGTGGTTATTAGTGTGGGCCTGGGTTCAAATCCTGCTTCTGTCACTTGCTAGCTGTTTAGTCCGAGGGAAGTTACTCAGTGCTCTGTGCCTCAGTTTCCTTCCCTGTACAATGGGGATAGTAGTCGTGCCTATCTCATCACAATAGAATAACCCCAGTGTCTCATGCTTTCCTGCTTGCAGCCCTCTCCATAGCTCTGCAAGGCAGGCTTCACGTACGTCCTCTGGCTGTCACCCTTGTCACTTCCTAGAGACCGTGGCCCAGGCAGCAGTAGGCAGGTATGGGAGTTTAACAAACACTGTTTCAGGTGAGCTGGCAGCCAGCAGCACGCCCTGCTGCTAAGAAGGAACCTAGATGGTCCCCTGGGCCGTGCGATGGGTTGGCTAGGTGGTGACTGCAGGAATGTTGGGTTTGGGGGAGCCCAGGATTGGGGTGGCTTCTCTGCTGATTGGTATGGTTACCTGACCATGTGGTTATGGCCCTTTACTGAGTTAACTGTGCAGGGGCGGAGGAGGCAAAACTGCCTTTTATTGAAGATGTGTGGTGTGCTCCCATGGTCCCATTAATTAAGTAGTTCCATCCTCATCATGGTCTCGGAAGACTCATCTTAAAGACTCCATTCATTCATTCATTCATTCATTCATTCATTCATTCAGAAATGTTTATTGAGCACCAACTTCTGCCAGTGCATGTTTGAGGCAGGAAATGCGGCCCTCTTCGAGCATTCTAGAGGGTGGAGATTCAGAGGGTTAAGTGGTTTGCTAGGGTCACATAGCTGGTAAGGGGCAGGGCAGAAAGCTGGGGCGTTAAAGCCCAGGTTCTGTTCTCTGTCCAGGCTGCCTGGGTCCCCCAGTGACCAGGAAGCTTACCCGTTGAATGGGCATCCGTGGAGTCCTCAGGAAGGGTCTTGTCGTATGGAGATCTGTGGGAATGTCCTGAAGGGGCTGCCTGGAATGGTATAGCAATTCTCTGAGCAGGAGAGAGAAATGATAGCTCCTGCTGGGGACCTGGTGCTGGGTGGATTGGATGAGGTGATCAGCCAGTCTGGCAGGGTAAGGGTTACTGCCCCATTTTCCACGAGGAGGCTGAGGCCCATGAAGTCCAGAGCTAGTAGGGGGTCTTATGCACCGCAGACCCCCTATGTGAATGTTGACAGGTCCCTCACAGAGGTGAGCCCCACACTCAGGGAGAATTGGGTTCCTCTGTCCCACCCTCCCACTTCCAGGGAAGACCCAGAAATGGCCGGGGCGGGGCTGAGGGGCCTAATGTGCCTGTCTGCTGGCCCTGCTCGGGGCCCCTCCCAGGCGAGGCCTGAGTCAGCGCCGCCGTATTCTGGGCCAAGCCAGGCTCAGCCCGGCCAGGCTTACAGCCAAGGACAAGGGCCTGATGAAGAGACAAGATGGTTTATAGCAGCTGGCCAGGGGTGGTTAGTGCTTCGGCCAGAATGAGACCTTCTTGCCTGGGCTGGCCGGTGGCTTTCCCACTGGGTCCTCCTCTGTTGTACTAAAAATGGGCCCCTTGGCTTGTGGAATCTCGCACTCTGGGTTCAAATCCTGCCTGTTGGCCTGACGTAGCTGTGAGCTCTCAGACATATCCCTTCTCCTGTGGGAGACTCAGTGCCCTCAACTCCAAAATGGGAATAAGTCCTGCCTTACGGCCTTCTAAAGTTTAGCAGTAAAAACAAACGTAACCAACATTCGTTGAGCCCTGAGCAGATGCCACACCCTGCCCATATATTTAATCTGCAAACAGCCCTGTGAGGTTGGAATTATGATCATCCCCATTTTATAGATGAGAAAACAGAGGCACAGAGAGATGAAGGGACTTGCCCAAGGTCCCAAAGCTAGGATGTCACCGAGCTGAGCTTTGAACTCGGGCAGTTACACGGCAGCATCTATGTCTTTACCCACCGCCCTAAATTATTGCCTCTCTGTGTGTTTTATAACATAAACCAAAATGTATACGTGAAGTGCCCGGAGTTCAAGGCAGTCTCTATGGCAACTGTAATTATCCTCCGTTAATTAGCAGAACCCACCCACTCTGCATAAACAAACTTCCCTGACCAGCCTCTCCTGCCTCTCTCTGGAGGCTCCTGGGTAGATGGGAATTCTTGGCTGGCCACACACTCCTATGACTGGATGAATTTCAGACAGGCAGTAATGTCCCATTTCTAGGCCGACTCAGCCCAACCTGGAGGACCCCGTGCTGGTGTGAATTTCCCTTGTTGAGCCTTTGTCGCTGTTCCTCATCAGACACTGTTGCCAGTGAGAATAAACACCCAAACTGGTTAAACCAACAGCTCCCTGTTGATTCAGAGCTCATAAAACACGGGAGCCCCAAGTCACTTTATGACGTGCCAGAATCCGGGGGCAGGAGGGAAGCCTGGGGAAGCCGCTTAGCAAGGGCCACCTCGAAGCTTACGCTGGAGCAGACGGTCTAGACATCCCCCCAGGCGAGACACAGGCCCTCAGGATGTCTTTATAATGGCGACCTCATAGAATGCTGCCAGGGTGAATGGGGTGGATGGTCTGGAATCTCTGATGGTTGAAAAGCTGAAAAGTTGGTGGGGGCTTATTGGGGTGGTGGCGCAGGCCTGGGAGTTCCAGTGGCTTCCGGGAGAGACCTCCCATAGGTCCTGGAAGTGTCACCCCAATTAGCAGCCAGAGGTGTGAGAGGATGCATCAGAGAGAGAGAGAGAGGAAAGGGGACCCCAGGAGGGTAATTTTGGTTGCCCTTTGCCTCTCCTCAGTTCCTCTTTCATAGGCTAATTGGGTTCCTTTGCTTTGCCTCTGGGCTCTCTGAGGATGCCAAGGCCTCCCCCGGAGGAGGTACCCTGGTCCTCAGGGGGCCTCTGAAGTGTGGAACTTGTCTCTTGTAACAACTCACCTGGAAAGATTGTTAAAATGCAAATATCCAGCCTCCAGAGAGGAGATTTGAGAGCAGTGGGTCAGGGGTGTTGCCTGGGTGTCTGAATTTTTATTAAGCGCCTCCCCAATCAGGTGATTTGGCTATAAGCAGCCTGAGAACCTCACTTTGAGAAATGCCGGCAAACCAGGTCAGGAAACCCAGGTTATGGCTTGGGATCTACCAAGGACAGTGGTTGACGACAGCAGCAATGTGTGTAAACGTGTGGATGTGGTGAGCACATATTTGATGAAATTTATAAGACGACATTTAGCCGGTGCCTAGCACATGGAAACTGCTCAAGAAACTACAGCTTTTAGTCTGGTTAGCCTTCCTCACCCACATTGATTGAGCCAAACATGCTTTTGGTGAATTCTCCCGTTTAATCCTCACCGCAACCTGAGAGATGGATCTGTTAACAGCCCCATTTTTCAGATAGGAAAACTGACGTTTAGAACTGGGAAGCCCCATGCAAGGAGCACCTTGTGGGGGACTTGAGTGGAACCTGGGCGGGAGCTGAGCATTGGTGTTTCTGTCTGTAAAATGGCACTAATCTTGTTATCTGTGATTATCCACCAGGGCTGTGATTTAAGGGTTTGAAAAGATAACAAATGAGAAAACGTTTTGATAATGAGCGAGAAAAAAAAGGCAGTGTTCTCAAAGTTAACATAGTAAAGACTGGTTTCCTCAGTGGTTACTGCGTGATGACACCAGCTATGTATAATATATTATTATACATAATATAATATATAATATATAATATATAATATATAATATATAATATATAATATATAATATATA